GCACAGCAGTGTCAATGTAGTAGTTAACAGGGTCTCTGCTGTGGATCATCAGGCCATCCACAAACTTCATGGATTTAGCCCTCTGTCCTCAGAGTTTCCCAGACACCACGACCTCGCAGCCTTTAGCCCCACTCTCCATGATGAACCACAACACACCATAGCAGGCCCTCTGCACGGCAAGCCCTCCTAGCGTTTGCAATGCAGACACTCTGCCTGGGCAATGGCACACAGGCCCCTAGCGGCCACCTTTTCAGCATAAAGCTCTACACTGCCCTCTGGAAAGCCAAACCTCTTCTGAACTACAGCAGTCAGTTCCCGAGTCCCCCAGCCCTTCTCACCAAGAACATTCTGTGTTCTGGTGACTAAGGTAATGATTTCTGTCTTGGCTGGTGTAACTCGCACCTCAACTCCAGAGTAGCCATCTTCAGCCAGTTCCTGAGTAAGAAACTCATTCAGTTCAGCTTAGAAGATGCCATCAGTGACAAACTTCTTCTTGGAAATTTGCATGGCCATCTCGCCGCCATGCTCCGCCGAAAGGAAAGGCACTGTATCATTCTTATGCCTTTGTGTCCTCATAGCTTAGCTCCCACTTATGAGTGAGAACATATGATGTTTGGTTTTCCATTCCTGGGCTACGTCACTTAGAATAATGGTCTCCAATTCCATCTAGGTTGCTGCAAATGCCATTATTTCATTCCTTTTTATGGCTGAATAGTATTCCCTGGTATATATATATACCACAATTTCTTTATCCACTCATTGATTGATGGGCATCTGGGCTGGTTCCATATTTTTGTAATTTCAAATTGTGCTGCTAAAAACATGCATATGCAAGTATCTTTTTTGAATAATGACTTCTTGTCCTCTGGGTAGATACCCAGTAGTAGGATTGCTGGATCAAACGGTAGTTCTACTTTTAGTTCTTTAAAGACTCTCCACACTGTTTTCCGTAGTGGTTATACTAGTTTACAATTCCACCAGCAGTGTAGAAGTGTTCCCTTTTCACCGCATCCTTGACAACATCTGTTTTTTTTTTTATTTTTTGATTATGGCCATTCTTGCAGGAGTAAGGTGGTATCACATTGTGGTTTTGATTTGCATTTCCCTGATCATTAGTGATGTTGAGCAGTTTTTCATATGTTTGTTGGTCATTTCCATATCTTCTTTTGAGAATTGTCTATTTATGTGCTTAGCCCACTTTTTGATGTGATTTTTCTTTCTTGTTAATTTGTTTGAGTTCCTTGTAGATTCTGTATATTAGTCCTTTGTCAGATGTACAGAGTGTGAAGATTTTCTCCCACTCTGTGGGTTGTCTGTTTACTTTGCTGATTATTTCTTTTGCTGTGCAGAAACTTTTTAGTTTAATTAAGTTCCACCTATTTATCAGTTTTTTTAAAGAGAATATAGAATTTATTCGATATTGAATATAAAAATAAACCATCTAAATAGGGGCCCAGGGAGCTTCCCTTATTTCTCTAGGTGCCTCCAGGCCTTCCCACCCCAACCCCAATAAAAACATTTTGCATATATAATGGCTAGCAAAGACTAAAAAGATGCAAAACTTCCAAAGACAGCAGGCACTCAGCTTAAGGAGGGTGATGACTGGGTCAAACGAGATCTTCCTGCAGGAGCCCACCATTTTCTTAGTCACAGCACTGACGAAAATACACCCCAGCCTTCTGGACCAGAGGCTGACATTAGGGGGTCCCTGAGCAAGTGATGGGCTGGAGCTGCTCATTGGGAGGCAGACAGTCTACTCCGTCAATGCATCCTCCAACTGCTTCACTCTCAAAGCCTGCTTCTGTTCCTGCAGCACACCACATAACTGATGCATGGCCGTTTTTAGCCGGGGGAGCTCATCTGCAAAGATGAGGTGGAACCGGCCTGGCTCGTTATACGTGCAGGCTTTGCCGCGGGATAACAGCTTGTTGTCCAGGAAGCAGCGAGAGGAGCTGTTCCTCTTCAGATGCACAGGGATCCATGTACTTTTTCAAGTTGATCCAGACACAGAGGCCAGAGCTGCAGTTGTGAAAGGGGATCTCCAATGCCTTCAGTTTGGCAGTGATGTACTTGTGAGCTTCCCAGAGCCGGTAGTTATTGGCGGGCAGGTACGCTCTGTCAATCCATTCTGTGCTCTGGAGCAGCTGACACAGCTTGTGCCGGGCGATGCCAGAGATACTGCGGAGGTAGCCAAAGGTGCTCACAGCAGAAGACATCTCCTTGTTGTGGGTGTCAACAGAGCACCAAAGCAGAAGGCAGAAATGCCAAAATCCTTCCTGGTGTCCCAGATCACATGGGTCCTGTTGTGATCAGGCAAACTTTTCATGCTCAGGACACTGTGGAATGTGATGGATTCATCAAAAACACAG